ACACTTATGAAACTAATAAATTATTATTTGGTTATTTTTTATGTTGAATAATAATAATATAATATACAATTTATATGATTTTTAAATTATTCTGTTGAATATATTTCTAAAATATTATAGTTAAAACCTGGCATATCTTAGACTGTAAATAACGGATGGTTTATGTGGTTATATAAAAAGTAATTTCATATTAATATTATAACAATATTACATCGATATTCACTTATATTAATGTGGACATGAATCTATATAGAAATGCGCTGAGTATGAAGTCCATTTAAATAACCTGCACGGTTTCAGATTTTGGTGTACAAAGAGGAACTATAATATTTTTACTGTACATGTATGATATTATATGTTTTATATTTTAGGGAGGAAGAGATAAAATATACATTTTTGTTATCGTTGTTTTGAAAGATTGTTTTATTTTGAATTTAAATTGAGTTTTATGTTATACAAATAGACGTACGTATGTATATATTATACAGTAGACTAATGGAGTTTGACTGGTGTCATGTTAGCAATAGAATAGAACGGTTTTTTCTGTAGTATTGTACACTATTATAAAATACAAATTACAACATAAATAAAAAAATATATTTTATTTTTTATGGGCTAACATATTTGGTTTTAGTATTTATTTAGTCAAATTTGTATAACGGTTTTAATCTACGGTTGTATTAAATGTGCATTTATGCTAATCACATAAAACAATTTTCAATTCATCAAAAAGGTTAAAAAACTTCTTAATACATGACAGTTAAATGTGTCATAAATATTATCAATATTTTAAAAAGTACAAGTATATTTATTTTAAATAAACGTATATATTTTACTATTAATTCCATGATATGATTGAAACATAAGGTACTTATTAATTAATCATAACTATCATTCTTCAATATTTAATTAATCATAACTACAAATTAGAAATAACGCGCTAATAATTTTCTTAGAAACGTTAAATTTTTAGAGAATTAGAATCTTATAGACATTGCTTTAGTTAAAATTTTGTTTAGATAAAATATATCGTTTAATCTAAAACATAAATAGTGTTGTATGATATTAATTTGGTATCAAATATTTTTATATATTTACTCCAAGATAATTTAATATATTATTGTGAATATTTCTGATATTGTCATGATGGTTTGAGTTATATTATAGTGATTTATTTGTGATTGGTAGTAACATAAAGCAGTATTAAGTAAAATAAATTTAAATTTATTGTATTGACAGTAATATTTTTAATTTTTTTTTTTAAATGAAAAAATTTTAAAAATATAATTACAATTATGGTTATTCGTATAATAATATATTTTTATTATAATATCCAATAATTATCTTAATTATTTTTTAAATAAGAAATACCGTTTCAAATAATATGGTTACTGGTGTTAGAAGAACGGTTTTAGTTATCGATTAAATTGTGAAATTTCAGAATATTATACTGGAAAAATGAATTAGCTAGGAATATTTTAAAAATTAAAAAATGTGTTTAATTTATATTTTGTGATTAATACAGTAGTAAAAAAAATACCTAATTTATGATCTGAATGATTAGAATAGTTAATTATATTAGTAAATATAAGTTAATATAAGTAAATTATATTAACTAATAAGTAATAACTAATTATATTAGATAATAATTGGAACAATGGTTATATTGAGTTCAAATGTATCTAAACGTGTTTTAAAAAAAGATTTTCAAAATAATTGAAGGAAAAAAAAATGACGAAATAATGTAACTAATATTTACAGAAATACAGTTTTTACAAAATCAAATAAGTTTTTTTCATAATAATTTAAAAGTGAATATATTTTGAAATTTAAAATATTCAACAGATATATATTTATATTTTCTAGACATCAACAATATTCATTGTAATTTGGCTCTTTTTGAGCTATTTATGAACATTTAAAATTTGTAAATTTTTTTTCTCATGTATGATACAATAATAGTTGTGAATAATAAAAAAAAATGGAATGTGTAATGCGAAATTCTTTGTAAGTTTTCTCTGGAAATTAATAAAAAAAAAGCACAGAGAAAATCCATTAATCTTTTATATAATGGTTTGTGATTCAAAGTTTTACATCATTGGATAGTTAAACAAAAAATAACGATTTTTAGTTATTTGTTGTAATTAAAAAAATATTATTCGAAGAGACTTGAAACTTTTTTTTATTATGTATATTATAATTTATTTAAAGCTTTAAAACTATTTTGATAACTATTTAAGTCATAAATCTATTCAGATTGTTTGACGTTTATGGTATTGTTATATAAGTTAATACTAGCTGCAATCTAATATTGTGTGTAATAATATCAGGATTCTTAGTATATTATAATACATGTGATTTGTTTTTGACAAAATTTAGTTCAAACTACTGTATTATTTTATTACTATTTATTCTAATAAAAAAAAATTACTAATAGTTATATAAATAAATTAAAAGTATTTTTAGAAATATAGACTACCGTCCATCTCAGCTCAAAATAATTTTGCACCGTAAACAAAAATGTATTATTGAATTCATATTTAACTTATTATCCATTGCATTCAAACTTTTCAGTGACAAGGAACGTTTGATACCTTCTATATAGCAAAATTACTTAACAGTATTTTTTCTGGTTATTTTCATCCTATTTGTTAATTATTTAAGATTTTTGTTGAGTAAAAGAAATCATAATATTCGAGTTAATTTAGATCAAATAAAAAGTAGCATATATAGTTACTAATGGAAAGTAAATATTACAAAGAGATTATTAATGAGACTTGTGAATTTAAAAGTAATATTGTTTAATATCTTAAACATGTGGATGCTACATAGGTAACCCCAATAAAAAGTGAAAATAGTGGACTATGTTTGAAAATTTAAATTACGATTTAATATAAATGTGTATATTCAATTTAATTTAATTATAAACCGTCACTCCAGATTCAATTAAAAATAGCAATGAGAATAAATGAAAGAAACATCAAAGTCAGTTTCTCCGTTGTAGATTAGATTTGTAAAAGGAAAAATAGTGAACACTAACTCCAATGAAGGCGTTGAACAAGTTGATGTAATAACCGACACGAGCCACATTCTGAATGGCGTGACGTTAATAATATACCAAGTTGTCAATAAAATACCGTGCTATAGTCTTAAAAATAATAGATTGACAAGTTCTAGTATTTTTTAAAATTTTTTTTGGTTGTCATTGTAAGAAAATAATGCATTATTTTTTATCTAAGTTTCTTTATGATATTTTTTAACGACTTTAAATAATATAATTTAATATTAAGATATTAATAATTATTACTTTTTATAAGGAAAATTATTCATATTTGTTATTTATCACAATAATAATTTCATTAATTTCATAGTTTCATAGAGTATCTTAATAAAAGCATCCAAGATACTACATAAGATATAATTATTTTTATATGAATTAACTAAAAGTACAATGACTTGGTAAGTTTAAGTGAGTAATATATTGTAAATAAAAATATTAAAATTTTTTTAAATTATTCCATAGTTATACGTAAGCAATGGATACATTGCATATTTGGTAAAATTAGTTCATTTGGAATATGTGGTAGATATTTTTTCTAATGGAAGAATGGAGGTGAAGTGGATTTAAATTCATATATTTTCAAACCATATTCCTTATATCATTTTTAAGAGGACTAAAATATTCTGTAGAATATTATGTGAAAAAGTAGTAGGGGGCTTATGATCAGTGGAGTATTTTGGGTAATTTCTCGGCGATTGTCTAAAATATTTATTGATGAATCGGTGAAATTAGAATAATTCCTGTATATTCCAGATTAATTGTAAACTTATTTTAAAAATATACTACGAAATTTTACTTTGGATCTAATAAAATTAATTTTACTTTTACAGTTTATATATAAATATGTTGATAGGCATGAGTAAAGTACATTTTTTTTAAGTCAAGGGTTGTTCAGAAGCGAAGGACCCTCCCTCTTAAAAATAAAAATAATACCCCACTGTTAATGACTATTTGTAAAATCACCAAAAAGTGTGGAAGGTAGTATGGATTAGCCAATTATGAAGAGTTTAATAATAAAAAAAAAAATGACAACTGTATCTACATTAAATTATTTTGGTGAAAAAATGGATGAAACATGATGTATCGAGAAAAACTTTTAAGAAAATTTTTATAAAAATAGGAGGGCTGCCTGCCAAACCTGGTCAAACGCTATTACGATAATTATGATGTCAAATATTATGATATGCATTACGATATATAACATAAAACGTACAGAAATAATTTTCTTAAGACTTAAGATATAGCTTTGAAAAATTGAAATTGATTAAATCAGCTTTTAATAGTAATAAGATGCCACGTGTGATAATGTTTCACGAATCAACGCAAAAGTGTACTTTCTTAGTGTAAATATAAAAATAATAGATATTTTACAAAGATAATTTTTATTAATGCCATACGCTCGCATTTATCAAAACTTTTGATATGACAGAAATTACACGTTGTAACTGATAAAAACAAAAAATTTGAAAGAATGAGTTTCCGAATCCATTAATATTGTATTATCAATGGTGAATTCAACTTGTTCGGAAACCATGTATGGGGAGTTACGTATAGCAACACACGAACGCAGATTGTTGTGCACTGCGTTAGAGACGAAGATAAATTGCCCGCACATGTCGCTATACATAAAATATAATATATAGACGGTGTCAAAAAATCACAACATTATACATGAACACGGATTTTGGCATAGCGATATAACATTATTATATTATATTGTGTGTAAAAAACTAAATAAATAAGAAAAATATAATCTAATAGTTCAACGAATATCGTAATCATACGTATAACATAATATCGATACTATTGTCATTGTTTTCGTTTTCTTCATATTAGGTCTAAAACGATGATATTATCTTCGATGCGATTAAAAATATATAGCGTTTCGTGCTGATGATTAACGATCAACTGAAGGGTGGTTTTTTTTATTTATTTTCAGGGTTCGAATGAGGTGGATAGGCTGCAGTCGTACAGCATCTGTGGCTCAGTGATTAACCGGACCATGATGGACCTGGACGCAGATGAGGTAGAGCGATGGCTGTGCGAAAAAGCGCCGCAAGATCTGGTGGATCGCGTGATCCGGGCACGGCTCCAGCACCGCACCGGGTCATTGACGATAAGCCGAGCGAAACGCAGTTCCATGACGTCTGAGATGTTTAATACTTGGCTCGCGTCGTCTCCGATCAAACGTTCTAGGTCGCCAAACAGGTAACGTAACCGCAATCGTAGTACAATTAATAATGTTAAAAAATTATTTTATTGTGTTCGAAAGGCTCATAATAGACCATTGTTATGTTTTTCAACTCCATGAATAAGAATAATTCAAATATATTTTTCATTAATTTAGTGATTTCACATTTAAAAATGGAAAAAAAAACTGAAAAAATTTAAATTCAATTTTTATAGTATAATATACTATTGGGATTTGATTGTTGACATTGATCTCCATTTAATTAAAAATAATATTTATTTCCCAAAAAATGATAGCAAAACAAAAACTGTTAGACACATTATTTTAATCCTACAGAGTTTTCACCGAAATTAAGTTTTCATATGACGTATTTAAAAATAACTTTTATAAGAACTCGATCATGTAATTTGCCCCAGTAATTTTGTTACACTGCTGTAAGGAAGAATTAATAATTGCCAAAGAAGAAAAATTGTATTTATTATGTATAGAAAATTCGTTTTGCCTTACCTTTGTTTTCAACGATAATACGATTTTCATTTAATTTTTTTATAATAAGTGTATACGTTATAAACAAAAACGTGTGGATAATATGTAGATACGTAAAAAGTATATTATTACAGTATTATAAGCTGATAGTAAGTTATTCGCATACAACGTTCGAGTTTTTACTGTTTTTATTATTGGTAAATGTATCGTTAACAGTAGTTACTTCCGACGAAAATTATTGTAAAGTAGACACATTTTCAGGGGAAAGCTTTTAGTGTTTCATCCAAATAAATATAAAATATTATGATTGATATGTACCTATATCTCTATAAACATATTATTTTTTTCTTAATTTCAACGTCTTTTGTTGAATATAATATTCTCACAATAGATATGCGGTTTAATAAAAGCGCAAGAATTTGCAAATACTTAACCAACCGGCATTACAATGAAGAAAATAAAAACTACGTAATATATCATAGTAGACCGTAAACCAAACCTTTATAATCAAAACCTCTAAGTCCGATTATAGGTTTTTGTGGAATTGTTTATGAACACATTGTTATGTTAAGCCATACGATTTGAAACTAACAGTGGCCGGAAAACAAATCTTCATTGATTCTGCCATAATTTGACGTTGAATGAAATCCAAAAGAGTCATGACAGATGTATGGTCTTATATTCGATGTTTGTTATTGATGGTTTTCCAATACGAAACATATTTCTTTTCTTTATATTTTGACTAATCCGGCTATGCATACGCACAGGCATTTTTTTTCGCAGACAATTTCAAAAGTCTATTGATTTTTATTTGTATTTTTGTGTATTATAATAATATTTCCGCTCGAAAGAATAATATAAACATCTCGTAAAACCGAAATAAACATTTTAAATATGCCATAAACTGATGGCTTATTATTATTTTTGTATATTACTAACAATAATTATTTAAAATTGGTAACTGGTTTATATATAAATTTTTAATAACATTCAACCTTGTCGTGTTCATAAGTAATTTGTTACCTATTGAATAATTTTGTATAAACCGTTGAATTTCAGAAAGTCAATGTGATTTCGTAGAATTCAGTTTTTAAATATCATTAACTTGTTAGATATGTTTAAATATTTTATTTTTGACAAGATTTATGAAGTGTGATAAGCAGGTGCAATATATTTAATATGATTATAAGGTAGGGTTGAGAGTCGATTTAATTTTTTTCACCAAGTCAAACTATTCAAGTATAAAATATTAAGAAAGTTTTTGATTTGAACTAAAATAAACTGATATATATATATCAGTTTATTTTGTATATAAAGAACATTTCAAAATTATAGTCTTCAATTTTTTATACATAATTTAATAATGAAATAAAGTAAAAAACTCAATTTTGAAGAAATATTATTATTGTCTTTAAATTGAATGTCCTCAATGATAAATCAAATGAAAAAAAAAATAAATAATATTATAACGTGTTATAATACGTGCCATTCGACATAATTTTAATTTTGTGATAACTTAGAGTAATTTAATAAGTACGGTGTCGGATTAAGACGTTTAGCGTCTATAAGTCTTGTATAAAATAGCGCCCTTATTATATTTATCATTTTTATTCACAACCCAAACACGAGCGTATTGCGGTCACATATTTAAAAATCTTTTGTATTATTTTTTTAACCATGCATTTTACTTTGAATAAGTTACACTGAAAAAAAAGATAATATAAAAACAAATTACTATGAAAATAAGTGTTTAGTAAATAAGAATTTAAAATACTAAAAACTTACATTTACATAAAATACTAACTTCAGTTAATTTTTTCCCCAGCAAAAAAATGTTGATCTCGTCCCTGGTAGTGCGCTGGTAGTGTCCCTTATAAAACGCTTCTATGTCTAAGCCTGTTTGGCATATTCATTAATCTGCCCCTGAATAATTATAATAAATTATTGTTTAATTTTTAAGAAAATAGCAATATTTTTTTTAATCGATATCTTAATATCTTAAAATTTCAGTGCTTACTTTGTACACATTATTTTTACTTAAATATTTTATAAAAATATAATTTAAAACTTATAAAACCCAATTTGCCATAGGAATTGGTTTTATTGAAAGTACTTGAGAATTTTCAGATAAAAGTAATCCTTTAAATATATCCTACTATATAGCTTACAGTTTCCAGCTTACACAACCTTTTTTTATTTTATAACATTCTTTAAATTAATATATTATAGGTATACGATATATTCATATACATTAAAATACTAATTTTTTAACAATACTTTTAATATTAATTTAAAAAAAAAATAGCATAATGAATTAAATATAAATAAATTATAATAGAAATAATATAGAATAAAATTATATTTTGTAGCTAACAATTAAGTGCATTCAATTTGTTTTACAATTTTTATTTTTTATTTTTTTTGATTTTTATTTAAAACATAAAAATATAAACATCCAACAATCATAAATTAAAAAGTAAACAATAAATACTTTTAGAAACTTTCATTATAATGGTATTACAATTTCGTTTGTTTTAATAACTTATTTATAAAAAACGCAATATTTTTATGATGAATTATATTTTGTATGTTATACTAGATAGTTATTGCTTATAAACATATTAAGAACCGGTAATAAACTAATTCTATTATCTGGTAATGAACTTTAGAAAGCAATGAGATAAAATAAATTAAAAATACGGTTTGTTTAAGAAAAAAATAAATTAAAATTAGATATTTTTTGAGTTAAGTAAAATGTTATTGTATTTAATGTACTATATTGTATTTTAACCAACAAAAAACAGCTGATACCTAAAAAATTATTCATATTTCAAAGTATTTTATGGTTATATAAGTTCAATAATATAATTTTATTAAAATCATCATATTAAACTAATGTGTATAATCGTGAATTGAAAAGTGTATGTAAATGTATACATAGTGTTTTTGCTTTAAAAGTATATTATGTTTATTTATAGTATATTGTATGATAAAATGTATATTTAGTGGTAAGATGTAATATGAGATTCAAATTATTTATTCAAACAAATACCTTTATGATTTCAACAGAGTAACGCGAAGCAGTGGCGAATGGAGGCATCATTTGGGTTTGCTAGACGAAGGAGAGCTTTTTATGGAGCTTATTCGGGATGTATCGAACGAATTAGATATCGACGTCCTATGTCATAAGATACTTGTCAACGTCGGTATATTAACCAGAGCCGATCGTGGCAGTCTATTCCTAGTGAGAGGAAAACATCTGGTGGCCAAACTATTTGATGTAACTGTAGATACAGGTAAGAATTTATTCATGTATGTAGTTAGTTTGTAATTAAATATGATTTTTCCACCAATAAAACTTTTAATATCTATTTTAAGCATCGTAGCTTTTGAATAAGATTTAGTTACGTAACATTTTTTCATTACTATTTACTATATTACGTTCAAAAGTTCATTTTTGTAAAAAAATCGTTTTATTTTATTCTGATTTTAAATAAGCAAATTGTATTTTTACTTTTATACATGAGTAAATGCAATCGTATTGCTTTTATTATGCAGTTCTATAAACTTAAAAATAATAATACATTTTACTAAGTTGAAAAATGCGCAGAAAATTTTTTGTGTATGTAAGTAAGTTATATCGATAAGAATTATATCTTGTTAGTTATCTTTCGGTTTAAATAATATTTAAATAGCCTTTTGTGCTCGATTGAGTCAACTTCAGTAGACACGAGCGTACGCTAATAATTTCAATTTGTATAGAATGAAAATACGACATGCGATTGAAAGGCATTGGAAATGATAATTTAATTTATTAAATTTTAAAGTTGATAAATATAAAAAACAATTCATATTTTAGTTTAAAAATAACTTTTTTTAAACTTATACACTCATTTAATTTTTTCAATCAAGTGAAGTTCGAAATAAACTATGCAATAAAAGAATATAATGATAAAATGTATAACAATAATATGAAAAAAAATTTAGAAAAATTGTATACGTTAGATTTTTGTGCTTTTAAAAAAATTTTAAATGGGTTCTAATTATTATTATTTTATATTACTAAATTACGTGATTTATTTATTTATTTTTTTAATTTCATTAATTTCTTATTCAATACTGGTTTGTATGTAAACTACGGCAAAATTTATTTTTTTCTAAAAGTCGATATGTAAACTACGGCAAAAAAAAAAATTAAGATTATACAATCTGTGACAAAACCGATAAGATACATCATGCAAACTGCGGCAATTTATTTTATATACTTTCTATATATACTGCATGTGTATATATTTATATATTGTTACGATAATCTAAATACACGTGTATCGTTTAATTAGGTATAATAAGTATTATGTGTTATGGCAGCTATTAGTATCTCTTAGAGTATTAGGCGTAAAAATAAAGAAAAACCATTTTTTTAAATTGAAAAGTATATTATTATTAAAAATTAGATCGTAATGATCGTGTAATCAAAAAACTAATTTGAAATTAAAAAAATATTATTATTATTAAAAATTATTTAAACATATTGTATAATCAAAATAATAATAATAATACAATAGGTATCTAATTAAAATTTTGTCATTTGTTCTTAAAACATTTTTTTCAAAAATTCATATCTTGAAATTTGTTCATCTTCTTTCATTTATCGCTGTATATTATTATAATACATAATATACATAATATAAATATTGTATAATAGACAAATGAAATCAAAAATATTTATAAATGAATATGCAATTATTATTTAGTTTAAGTTGACGTACTTATATGTAATACGAGTATACATTTTGCAAAACACCAAAACAAGAGGAAACGACGTTGATATATATTCATTAAAGTATACTTAAGCTAAATATAATTTTGGAATATTACTATCAAAATTGTTTTAAATGCATATTATACGTGGCTACTAGCTTTTATCTTTTAAGGATTATAATCACTATAGCATTAATGATGGTTTTGTATATAGTACTTAACTATAGCCTTTAGTAATTCCAGAAACACGAATTGATGATTTATAAATTAAAGAAATTAAACATCCCTTTACAATGTTTATAAAAATTTACAGTAAAGCACATTTTAATGTTTTTCAAAGTAACGGAGAAATTTAAAAAGATACAAGTAAATTACTAATTATTATAAAATAAAACAATTTATTAAATATACTTTAATTTTTAAATAAATAATTATTTCATAAAGCAATGAAAATGTAAAAATATATCAAATGTAAATTATATACGCATAATTAATTTTATCAAATTGGTTGATGAAAATTATAATTGTTCTGTTTTATACGCTAACGTATATGAAATAAAAACATTTATAACTATTGTATAAAAAAAAAAAAAGATAATTTATTAAAAAAATATAAAGGTACGTACATAAATGTTATATTTTCTGTCGAATAAGTAAAATATTATTTGAAACGTTAATTGTTTATCAATTTATAATAATTTATATACACAGTTAATTCAATAGTTGGGCATTTCAATAACACATATTAATGTATTTCCTTGTCATTTAGTTTTGTATATGTGTGTGAGTGTGTATAGAACGAAAATATGTATTAATTTAAAAGGTTACAATGGGTTCAATTTTTTCTCAGAATTTATTAAACAAATCATTTTTAAAAACCTTTGAAATTAAGTAAGTTTTATTTTTATTAGATATTTCTAAAATAATAAACATTGTAAATAATATCTTTAAAATTAGAGTACTGTAATTGTATAATATTTGCATTTTAATGATTATTAAATAAAAAAAAATCGTGCTATTATAAGTATATTTTAATAATTGTACTAACGTTTTAGTTGTATTTACTATTTGACGTATTAAAGAGCAGCTAAACATTGTTACAATTCATTAAATATACGTTTAATCAATGTGTAGTCATATTTTCATTTTATTAAAATTACGAAAAAGAATCTTCTATTAAAATTGGTTTTATAAAAAAGTGGTTTTGATGTATTCAGTACATAAATATTAAATTATGTAACTTACAATGCAAATTATTATTCTTGTACCCTAACTTATATTATTATTTTTTATGGATGACATTAAATAATCAAAAAAATTCAAATGAAAAAATTAAAATGCTTTAACAATGCATATCTTTTGTATCTGTGTGATCTTTTCACTTGAGCAATATGAACGTTGTATAGTTTGTTGGCAACTATATATTTTTATTATTGCACATAGTATTATTATTATTTAATAATAAATCTCCTTTTGACCAGTCTAAGGCTTAATATTTTAATCGCTTAAAATTATTAACGATACATTAAAAAATTTATAAAATTCATAAATATTAGGATTGTGTTATGTTGGTTCTCCATCATCAATTTATATACGTAATGTAAAACAAAAACGATAAATGAACTTTTTATGACTGTGTTTTGTGTAACATTATTATAATATTATATTGTATTTATCCGAATCATGTTAATTTTATGTTAATAACTATTGTTTACAATTTCAAAGTATTATACTTATTTGTATTTGCATTGATGATTTGTAAAATGACAACCTAAATTATTTTTACAAGTTGCAATTGGTTTTTTTACCCATCAAGAACATAATAATATGCGCTGTATTGATTTCTTAGAATGAAACGAGTTTCTTGCACGTAAATAATAAGGCAGTAAAATTAAGTTATATTTTTATAAATAAAAATTTGATTATAAATTCTGTATACTTTTTTTGAAAATTTAATTAAAGTACGTGATTATTTGGTTTTTAAATTCAATTATGGTATTAAATAAAGCAATATTTAAGCATTTTTGTTCAACTGCTTGACAGTCTATTTTAAAAATTACTTTTTTATAGTAGAATATTTTTAATCCAAGCAAAATAAATTGAATTAAGAAAAATGAATATTAAAAATCTCTAAATGTTAGAATTTTAATATTTTTAATCAATTTAAATGCAAAAACCAAAAGTAAATAGGTTTAATGTTGAAAAAAAAATTATTTTGTCTTAATTTAGATTTTTAAATAAATATAGTCATATGCCTCTTAATTTTTATGTATAATATTTCATTAAAATAAAACATAGGAAATTAAATTCTTTATTTGTACATATCGCTTATTAAGTATAGCATGTACCTACGACAAATGTATATTTTACAATGTGAACTGTAAACACATTATGAGCTTTTTTTCTTGTGTAACGGTACTTAAATTCTTATCATTCGTATTTTTCGTCGAATGTGTACTACACATTTGACGTGAATGTGGAATTTGAGGAATGTTATTGTTTCATATTAAGGAAAGATAAATGAACAAACGAGCTTATTAAAATGGTAATTTTTTTAATACGGTATTTGAGTAAACTGCGTTTTTAATGTACCTGCTATCGTACGAGATCAGTGCCTTAAGTGTTCTTGAATTATTAATGAGAGGTAGGTACTCACAATAATAAATATTCGATATGGAATTATTGTAAACGATACACCAGTTTCACATTAAATTTAAATTATACTTACGGTGGATACACTTTAAAGTCAAATATGCGTACGCGAGGGCGAAATATTTGTACGAATAAATATCGAGATCGATCGCATCTGTATAATACCACTGAAGTTCTCGTCAAGTTTTTATAATTGTTAGTATACAATATTCATATATTATAGAGCCAAGAGATATTTATTTTCAGTTACTTTTTATGTGTTAGAACTCGCTGTAATAATTTTAAAGTAATTTTGCGCATCTTAATCTCGTACAAATATTTAGTAAGTAACATAAAAACGTAAGACCTTAAATCTGTTCCTCTTTACACACATTATTTTTTCTTTTCATACGCCAGTTACCAAAAATATAGCAACAATACACAATAGATTGTACAAAATCAATAGTTATACCCCAGTATCCCACAAATAAATTCAGACAACTACGATAGTTGAAACAACAAACAATAATAAAAAACCACACTAAGTACAAATAGTATTCAGAAGATTGTGTAAAAAGAAAAAAGAAAAATAAAGAACACTAAATTACATTAAAATAAAACCGTGGTTATTGATTAATAACACCGAAACTGTAATTCACATCTCCGACGTCACTATATCGTAGTACCTATTGCGGGGATTTAATAATAATATTTCAATTCTGTTTAAATAATTTTAGTTCAGTTCGTATGGATTATTATAAAAATTACAAAACAATGTTGATTTGCGAACGTAGAAGTCAATTGACTCTCAGTCGTTAAGCATTTATTAAAAAGATAATTTATTACTAAACGGCTTACTAATTAGCAATGTTGAAGAGTAACTCTTAACTTAAGCTACAAATTA